CATAAACTTGTATGCACGTGAACCTCAATGAAGTTTATTTGCTGCTGTTGTCTTCTACGGCTAAGAGAAGCTACTGACAGGTAGTTCAAAGCAATAAACTAAAGGAGCAGATTTTTTTAATTTCCCGAAAGTTAGGCATTAATCAAGTTTTCTAATTGAAAATTACTTCATTTTATTATCCTTTTTTGTTTTTTTAATTAAATACCGTTTTTAACGACGATCCTACACGGTGAAGCAACTCTTGTGTTGTCATATCGTACCCATAATCTCAAACGGTAACTTACGTCCCATTCTACTTTGTGGACTCTTTTTTTTCGTGACATCGTTACTAACGTTTGATGTATTCTTTTCTAATTTCGTGTAACGGTACCTATTTGGTAAAAATAAATTACAGTTAAAAAAATGAAGAACAATCTGAATATAGCGGTGCTATCGATGATATGTTTGATCTCTGTGGCCGTTTCACGCCGTCTCATACAACTACATACTCATTAAAAAACATTTTTACCCTACTCGATTGCAGCATAATTCAGCAGTCGTATACCATACATGTGCTTTATTTTCGAAAGCTCAACGCATTTACTCCGATCGTCATTTCGTAATTTTATTTATTCACACAGTTGCGTTGAATTCGCGCTTCAGCCACCTTTGGCCTTTTCAACCCGAGCCTTCGTATACGCAGTCGAAACCATTACGCCGACGCACCTCTCCCCATTTAGTTGTACACTGATGCCTAGGTCAGGGACAAAGGAAATGCTGTTGAAATGTCGTTCGCTGATTTTGCCACACAAGGACTGTGATGCATATTAATAAGTATTGCGCGTTTAATGTTCGGTACGGCCCGTAAAACTTGCTTCTGAAATGAATTGTGCCTACGGCCAGCTTCGAACCTAGACCATTTTACATGTCGCTATGTTCAGTAGGTAAAAACACGTTATCGTTGCTCCACCCCAAAGATTTTATGTACATGATCCACCAACGCTATGGTAGCGTTTTGGTCGGTAGACCCGCCGCACTGCGCTGAATTTGATTTCCACTAAATACTATTAGTATCCTTTTTCTAACGAGGTCTGCCACCGAAAGCAAATTTTCCTAGATATCCGCCTTTGCTGAAGTAGACCGCCGCCAAACCACTGTACTGAGTTTGATCGAAGTCCCCTTCTGAGGATTTTTCTGTTTTCAAGTACAAACAGATCTAGGGATAGTGTTTTGTGCCATTGATGTTGACAGGATATATGCACAACGTGCATGGTGGTCCGTGCTCATAAAAGGTACAGCTATGAGTTTCTTAAACCATAGCATCTCTAAATATCGTCAACCAGCCCAACTTTGAGCCATTTGGCTGTTGTTTTTTTTTAGTCTGAAAAATCGTATATACAAACTGATAGAATGATGTAATGCAGAATCACTAAAACAATATGCATATAATTGGAAAGGTTCACATTAATAAAATCGCAAGAGGAGAAGTTTGATATGAAGAACAAGCTAGCTAAGCGAGTGGCTAAAAAGTTTCTGTGGTAGTAAAAGACAAGTCTTAATGATGTTTTTACTAATATTTACTATTTAGTTGGACGTCCACAACCGGAACGTTAACTTGTATCAACTATTTTTTTAAGGTGCAACCCTTTTTAGGAGTATAGCTATTCGCGTAAATCAGAAAATTTTGGGTAGGAAATTAATTACCCATGCGCTGTCAATGATCGAAGCAACCATGAGAAATTAACTCATCCGACAAAAACAAATATACCCTGCATCGATACACAATAATAGCCGGTCTACGTCCATTTACCAGCTTACACCACCGCCATCGTATGAGTATCGTGAGTCTAGCATCTATATCCATCTAAACGTTATTTGCTAAATGTTAAACAGGTCGATTAATGATAGAGATCTAGAAGATTCGAGATGTCCGGTATCACGCGGATCAATGAGACTCCAAATATAGTTCAGTCAAATTAGCTCAAAGCGTTTATGCCGGAACTTTCAAACTAAAAATCTATACATTGTTGGTTTAAATTTGGAACAAACTTAAAACAAACGTTGACGATGAGTGGGTCGTTTTCTGTTTTTAAGCCATTACTGACAGGAACCGCCCTTATTAACCTCTCAGTGCTTAACAGTACGACGGGCCTTTTCTTAACAACTCTTGCTTGCTCAAAATCTCCATATCAAGTAGCTATAGAACTGCTCTAATCAGTTCGTGAGCAAAAATATTGATAACGTATGCCTTGGATGTACGTACTTTATTCGGTAGTTACTGAGAAAGTTTTCACAGTATTGAGATCGATCATTGGGGACAAATTTTTTTAGACGATCGTGGGATGTCTTCCAAATTGCGTAGCCGCCTACCTCGAACCCAAATATAATCGTCCCCTAGAAATATGGAAACTTCTTTGGGTCCATGTGTAGATTAGGATCATTTCGATTTAGGTTATCCTTCCTGACCAGTTTCTCAACGCTGTATATATATATATATATATATATATATATATATATATATACATATACATTTAATATGGCTGATAAAAAATAATCCGCTGAGATCTAAATTAACCACGGCAAAATTCTACCGAAATAAATTGTTTTTCAAAAGATACAAATAGTAATAATAACTTCATTCTAATCTATAAAGAAAAACCTGCTCGATACTTGCTTTACACATCCAAAACCCTCATAGGCGAGCCAAGGATCCACAACCTATAAATGAAGCGAACAGCTTTGAATTCCTAAACAAACAGGTCTGAAACGTTTTCCCTACATTTTCCCTGCACTTAGCGGTTCGACTTGTATCGATGCTCACGATTTTCTACCTGCAGTCGGCTCTCCTTCTCGGTCTCTTACACTTCGGGACCTGCCATGCGCGAACCTCGTAGGCGGTTAATACCGACTAACGCCAACAAGCGGTTAATCTCGAAGTTGAGCTCGAATTAAGCTGTTGTAGCAGGTATTATTAGGTAACCCAGTTTGCCTGTTACTTGTAACAGTGGTTTCTCTTTTGTGAAATTCTTACCTAATTCCACTGATTCGTATGCCGTCTGAATCGGGGCTATTTTCTTCTGCCTCCTCTCTGTGTGTTCTTGGCTCCCGTAGCAGGAAACGCTAACGTTCAAGCACCATTTCGATAGCTTCACCTTACACTTAAGAGCCCCGTCCCCTTTGTTTTTGCTGCGCAGATTTTGCGGCAGGGTTCTGCTATAATCTAATTTCGATACGTCGCTACTGCGCCGGTGTTAAGAACGACCATTCTCGAAAGACGATATGTCAAAAAACCTTTGGCATGCACCTACTTCATGTAATGTTCTTAACGACAAAGGACATGCAACCCAAATATACCCCTTCCACTGCTGTGACTCACAGAGATAATGCTACTAGAAGACTGCGAGTGTGATTTCAAGAGTTAGCGATAAAAAAAGAGAGATCGTGCGGCTTCTTTCAGCAACGTTCTAGCCTTTTCATAGGTTTATCCATAATTAATTGCACAAGTAGCAGCAGGTAACAGCCGATTAATTGTAACAGATACGTAGTTTTCTTCGGTTGCCAGCGTTGAATTTGATTAGTGGTCTTCGCCTTTATTCTCCGTGCTGCTGCTCATTGGCATTATCGCGGCAACCGCCATAAGAAGGGAAATCAACGTGCGCGCGAAAAGCACCTCTCTTGTATCTTGGCCTGGTCTTGCCTGTTAGGCTGCTTGTTTTTTCTGTAAAGGTCTCCCAGTATCTGTGGTTCGGGCAGCACAACTAACAGCCCGCGCGCTTCTACGACGACTTCTACGACAACACAGTCGTCATTGGAGTGGAACTCGATCATGTTTGGCTATCAGAATTTTCGCGGCCAGATGGCTTTCGTAGCAGACAATACGCGCACTGCATGAGTCGCCTGCGCATGATTGGTTTGTTCAAAGTTTCGCGCGCATTACTTCGCAGACGGCACGGCCAATTTAGGCCCTTGTTGAAACCCAAACATGCAAAAGGCCACCCGTTGGCCAATGGCAATGTTGGCCTCGTCTGCTGGAGACGGTGCTGCGGTTAGTGACGTCAACATCGTGCTTACTGTAATATTTAGCGATTTTATTATGGTTCTCGTGCGCCCAGAGTGGAAAAATTAAGGTAAAATTAAGCGTTCCGGCGGGCGTTTTGGGCCCCATCAGGTGAGTGTCGATGAGTGCTACTTGCTCTGTGAGTGTCGGTAAAAAAATGCCAATCAAATTCATTTCGATCCTCGCGCGGGATCTACGTATTGCCGCGTCGGAAGTGATTCGTTGCAGTATTCGCGCACGAACAACGGCAAACGGCTAAGCGGTTACAGCATAGGAGCAAGAGCCAATAGTGCTAAGCAAGCGCTAAAAGCCACAAGCATCGGGACGACATTAAAGTAGCAAGGCGCTAGGGCAGGTGCTGAGCGACGATGAGCGACATCATCGGCAAGGCGACCAGCGCTGTCGTATAGGATTCGTGATAGGATAACAATAATCTTGAGAAGCTGAGCACAAAAAAAAAACCTTTCTCCCTTCAATTTTGGACACATAGAGAAAAAAGGGCGCTGACGAAATAACAACAAAGTGGCATTTACGTTACATGAAAAAAACACTACGATTTTTTGTTTTTTACTGTTGACGACGTCTACTATTACAAGCACCCAACTGTTTGCATTGCACACTGCAAAATTATCATTCGTGTGTTGTCTTGTGACCAGTCTATGTATGTGTGCGTGCAGCCGCTCAGGCTCGATTCATTCGTGCGGTGCTATGTCGTGTCTGTGTGTATTATCTCCGTGAGTGTATTGATGTGTCGTTGTCTACTGAGCTAACGGTCCTTCAATTCTATGTTCACCTCGACTCCTACAGCTATTGCTGGAAGATCTGGCTGTAAATTTCCTACAGTGTACGCGCGCTTCTAGCTTTAACATGATGACAGTGGGATGGGGTTTATCGAGGCAACGAGGATAATGGATAAGGAGAAGGATGAACATGGATTGTAACCGTGGTGCGTGGCTCTCGCGTATCGTGTATCTCTGTCGTAGATATGTTTTCGACGTCGTGACGGCGTGATCGACGACATCGGCGATCATGATCATGTGTCAACTTCTAGAAATAGCATCACAGATCTATCTAATCAGAGTGTCTAGACGAATCAGTCGTTCACTAGTTTCCTGTATTAATAGATTATATAATGTTTACAACGTGCGCTTAATCGAAATGACGCTTTGCCTCGGACTGGAGAAAATAGAGAATTTATGCTGTCAGTTGGCGGGCGCCTTAGATCTTCGCAAACACGGTCCAACCGATGCAGAATCAAAGGATGGTCTGACAGTATTATTACACCGCGCGAACGACACGTTACCGAGAACATCGTTGTTCGATCTCGTGGGATATATCGTGTTCAAGCTAGCAGACCCGATCTACCAGTAGAAAAGCTCAGCTGTGGATTTTACAGCGACGCTCGCTGGACCTCGAAATATCTTAGTCTGTCGAGAATCAGTGACAGTGTTTGGGTATTTCTCATGGGAGTCTATGTTTCTTCGAAGCCCGGAAGAATTGGGTTTGTTTCACAGAGCTATGTCAGTCTGGAATGACAGAGCAGAAAAATGTGGGGCATACCGCCCTCTCTCTCATGTCACCAGCCAGACAATTTTCTAGGACGCGTGTTTTAAGGCCTCTCTCCAGGTCGATAAAAAACGAAAATTTAATGCAACCGACCCGCTCACTTCACATGGTTAATAATGACTAACTATGCTCTTTTCTACAGAACTTTGGCGTCTCCTACAAAATAACAATGATAAGAACCCATCATTTTGGCCACCATTTCTCCAGTTACTACTATAAATGTTTCGGATTCGTGGTACTGTCGTTAAACACCGCTCGCAATACGAAACGTGTGTTTACGCCGAGCTTCGGATCGAGACAACTTAGTGTCCCACGATCACGGGGCTAAATTATTCATTACTACTCCATCTAATATCAACTAAGGTACTGCACTCCACCGTGTTTATTTCCGTCCTGCTATATGGTCAGTACTTTGTATCATCAGACTTTAATATATCGCTACTCGCGAATGCATCTTCATTTCAGCAAAGGAAAATTCCTTTCGACTTCCATGTGTCCCTGTCATGAGTGCACAATAGCTTACCTTACATAGTAGGAGCAACCAATAGTAAATTAGACCGGTGTGGTAGCGGACTTTATTTATACATATTTCTTTTCATTTACAAACGGTTATCGTTTGTAACACTTCGCATTTAATTGATTCAATAGAAAATCAGATGACCGTCTCAATCGATTGTTGTAAGGGACCCTTACTCCGAGGTCACAAGAAAAAACTATTGCTATCGATCGTCGGTATAGCAAAGGGTTGGTTCAAAAACCCATTCTACTTCCTAGTCATTACTGACGTTAACCCCATCGTTTACAACAGCTGTTCTTTCCCACTGCATATATTTCATGTCTATATAGATATCAAGTGGTTGCGAGTAGATCTGCGCATAGACGCCGGGATAGCTGCGCTTTTAAGGCTTATGTGGGCCTGAATAGACGTCCCCTAACCAGCAGAATGAATGGTGGAAAACAGCAATGACTGGCAAAGCCGTTGGACATAGTGAGACAAAACAGATACCTCAACTCCAGTCCTCAATAGAGCAGCAACAGCAGCTTCTAGCAAAGCATTACGTTCTCTTACAGCGACGGTACTGCCAAAGCTGAAACGCCGGTGAACGCTACACATTGCCGCTGTCGGTCCTTATGCACTCCGCGAGCACTAAGCGGTGTTGTAAATGGTGACAAAACTGCTTCCGGTGCTTCGGTTTTTTCGCTCTGTAAATGTTGAATCTTCAAGACTTATATGGTCTTTTATGCGTTGACTGTAGCTCCACTTCTGGGCAAAGTTGTCGCCTATTAAATAGCGAGTTATTACACGCCGGGTATCTCATCTCTTAATGGACTCCACGTCACTCTACCGTCGTGACGGCTTCATCGTTACGTTTTCTTTGCCGCTCCGGTACTTTTTCGTTCAGCGCAGCGTAAACGAATGTAGTGCCTGCCACAATAAACATTGAAGTGATGGATACTGTGTAAAAAAAAGCTGATGACAACAACTGTTCCTTGATTGGTATTCTCTTTGCGGTGGTCCATACAACGCAACGCTTGCAAACAAGTTAGATTAGGCAAAGAACTCGAAACGAGGGGTCAAAAAGTTACTGAATAGTGGTGGCACTAACTACATTGTAACTTATGTTGTCGTTGCCGCTCATGAGATTTTGCGTGCAGGTGGTTGGCGTGCTATGAATAGGACCGTGTGTTTGTTCGCGTCGGCACTTGCCTACTTAGAGCACGGTATACGGCATCAGATAATCGAGAGGTCCGTTAGGTACCGTTTTGTGATCTACATATATATACATATACGCATAATCCTTTGTGTCAAAGGTTGATAAAGTTGGATAAACTTGTATGCTCATCTTGAGTGCGTAACTGCACAATTTATGGGTATACTACCTTTTTTCCGGTTACCAGCTCGTCGGTGAATGTAAAACACAATTATTCTGGGACAGTATAATTCTGCATAAAATGATGCAATTCTTCAGCGAACGATGTAACTCTTTGTATATCAATACGATCCTAAAGTGAAGGTCTTCTATAGCCTGTGTCATCACGTGTACCTATCAACTTTTAAATAAAGCCAACAAAGGTGTAGTAAGGAAGGATTTTTGTTTTTCTGTTGCTAAAGTGTGGATATGCATCTCATTCGCCGTAAAGAAAATGCATATTTACCATATATATATATATATATTTTTTTTTTGTGAGTGATGCGAAGCACATGTAAGATAACTAAGCCATTGAAGCAATTGCCATATGCGTTCACTCGAGGACTGAACTGTTCCGGCCGAGGCCACGTGAGTCTAGTGCGAATCGCACGATGAGCAATCCATAACCAGAGTTGAGTGACCAGGGACTATACTCAAGCCCATCGTCACGTCGCTGACAAACGGAGCAAAATAATGAACGCAGTGACGTTTGAGTTAGGACAAATTAAATTGGTCCGCGTTGACTCTTCAATTAAGCGAATTTCTGTAGACAGATCACTTTTGGAATCGGAATGGAAACTACGGCGAGGTTTTCTCATCATACAGTTGTATGTGATTAAATCTATCGCGTTCACTGCGGCTAGCTGACAAGGTTAACAAGCGACATGTATTTGACTTTGCATCCGTCCTATGTAATGCTGTTTCTGATAACGGGACGGCCTGAAATTAGGTTATGCTGTATTAAAGAACTACGAAGCTACAGCCGAACTGTTTCTACTTGCTACTGTGACAAGCGCTAAGAGAGTACCTTCTGAAACTCTATAATAGGAGCCAATGGACCATACGAAGCTGAAAACTTGTTCTGTCAGTTTATAGAAATGGGACATATGTCTACATAGCCTCTTATTACCATAAATATTTTTAAAGTAAGATTGTCCTTTTTCGATTGTTCGAATGTTGGGAGCGATAAAAATAACCTTATTCCCCTTATTCCTTACTGAGGGAAGAATTGGCTGTCATATAGACAAGTCGTGAATAGTACCGAATGCAGTAGACGGCCTTCCTGGAAATCTGAATATGATCTATGAAATTCAATAGGATAGCCGAAGTCAACTGGATCCGCAAATAGATGACGTGTCGTCACTACGCTATGAGTTACAAATAACAATAGATATCGTTAGTGAATCGATCGGTATATATAATAGCTGTGATACTCTATCCTGTCACAGTATCTGTGGTTTCGTCAACCAACCAACCGTATCGTACCGTCAGGCCGAATCATAGCAATTTTCTCTCTTTGGTTCTCGTCGTCGTCTGTCTGGCCCCTTTCACCTGGGTACGATTTCCTGTTTCTCGCATTCAATTTCCGATACTTTTTTATATTTGAACTTTGAACTCGAATTTCGCAAGATCAGTGAGGAAGGCTAATTGTGGTCTGTTAGAAGGATATTTTGGATAAAGTTTCACAGCTTTACGAGGCGTATTTGACGTTTCAACCAATTGATGACGTCATTATGATGCACGCTAGCTGTACACAGGTATTTTCCCCTCTTACAGTTGGTTAATGCTTTTTGATATAGCTATCCATCCTAGCTAGGGGAAGGTGAAAGTCAGCGAATTGCAATGCACGGAGCATTAGTTTATTTCGGTGACATCACCGTAGTGTATGGACGAATAATGATACAAGATAGATTTAGAAAAAAGAAAAATCAAATTGAACCGATGCAACGTAAAGTGTAAACGTCACTAACAAACGCTGGAAGATCTTGGGTTCGGCTGTTGTAGACACTGTATCTATGTCCTACGTCTGTGTTGACCGTACGTTCCTATTTCTCGTTTATACCTGTAAGACTAATTTCAGTGTACGTTTTCGAATGCTGGCCTCTTCCTAAACTTCCGACTTCGTTTGACGCTTCGAAAGTTAAACTAGACATTAGTTTAAACGTATTCTGTATCGTCGTCAGCATGAGTGGCATAATGATCAGCATCGTCCTATACTGTTCTGGCTAGCAATCGTACGATGATTGGTAATAAGCTTCTTTTAAAACTATCCAAAAGATGAGACTGTTGGCATGCGCCAAAACTTAGTTTTGATGATTTAGTTATACAGCTATGAGTAAGCCACCCTAAAACTTCTTTTTCCTATTTGGCCATTCGCGCATCATATACCAAACCTTGTTAGTCGAAGTGTAAAGTGAACATGTTATGGCCTATCATCGAAAGTCGAGTAATTCGGATAGTCTGCTGATTCTGCCGTATCGCCCTCGATTCGTTAGAAAGTGAAGAGATGAAATGAAAAGCAAAAAAGGAAATGGCCTGAGCCGCCTATATGACGCATATCTGTGTAGGAATCGATGTGTCGGATTCGACAATCCGCACGCGGGCAGTGAAATACGCTTACCTTTATTTCTACAGCGGGGAGGTTGTTGCAGTCGTAATGGTCGGAGGTTGACGATTAACACCGCCTGCTTGCGGCTCGTACGGGGTCGTGCTGGTGAAATTCTCTCTTGATTAGGATTTATCATGAGACATTATAACGCTACGTAGAGCGAGAAACGCGGTGCCTAGCAAAGGCGATCGCGTAGTAAATATAGCATAGCCCACTCTAACCCAGACTCGGCACCGTAACTGCGTAGAGGCAACAATTGTGCAACGAATCAGTGTGCAAGCAAGTATCCTTTTAGGCGCATTCTTTTTCTTTGTGTATCATCGCTTTTCCCATTGGAGCCGTTTGCTATGGCACGTTAGTGTTCCCTCGTTCACTCTGATGCGCTTGCTCCGCTTGCCGTCTACAGTCGTCGCTGCATGAAGATTGATTTCCGTCCAACGACGACCTTGCTCGTGGTGATGACAGTGAAGGTTATGATGACGGCCGGCCGTATTAGTGAAAGTACTTCATTTAAGGAAGACCAATTTATGCAATTCATGAGTCACCGGGCCGCTTTAATAGAAAAGAAGGTGGAAGGAAAACGAGAAGGACTAGCGCAGGGCAGGCGCTCACTGTTGGCTTGCTTTATACTATGGCACTGCCTTACGCAAAAATGTTCACGGTCTAATATGTAAATCCCTGAGAGAACTATGCGTGGTACGGTTACAGATGAGCTTTTGTTCATTATCATTACACTGCTTGCGTGACAGCTCCCGGTAACTCAGCTAAGCGTTTCATGCATATAACTTTGACGAGTTCTGAATCGTATCAATTTGAATTTGGCGCCTTTTGCCTGGTTTAAGATGTGTTGTTAAGTATAACAGAATACTAGACAGTAGCTTCAATAAGCTAGTCTCTAGACGACTGGCATGCTGTATCAAACTGATATTTTTCGCTAAATATGTTGATGTGCTGTTGGACACAACCGTCATGGGCGTAGGGAATTATTTATAACATGGCTAAAGGCCTACTATGAGGGACCTACATTTAAAACGTGTTTACGTGGTTCTATTGTTGTTGACTGATCTCACGCGTGAAATAGATTAAAGGCAGCGACATAACAGT